CTGCCCATGGCTTGTAGGAAGGCAGTTTTAACATGCTCGTATTCGAAAGCAACGACATTAGAAATAAAATACTTCACTTCTAAATCCAGAACAATTAAAACCACATTTTTGCAAGCACATATCGTCATAATAATATGGAAGAAACAGTTAACAGAAAACACAACAAAATGAAACAAGCATTCTGCAGAAAATCATTACAAAAGTGATGTACAACTAGCTAACACATATGATCAAATATAAGTACTAATCCAACTTTAACAAATAAAAGTTTAGTACTACATATTTCATATAGATATGTTAGCTAGCTAGCTTCTAGGTCCTTCACATTGGGCTTGCTGACGGGCAGTGGTGGAGTCAGAATTTTATAATAATGAGGTCATAATATAAACTCCCAAAAAGTGATCATACTTTTATTTATACCGTCGATGATGTGTTCTCTTATTTTAGAACATCATATTACACAAGAGACTAATGAGGAAAAACGAAGAGTTCAAACAATAAAGAAGAACGGAAAAAATCTTTTGTCATCAAATGTGGAGAGTGATTTTAACATATGCCTTAATAAAAGTGTAACAAGTTGAGTGTTCTTTCTTAGATTTTACAAAGTTTAGAAGGAGATTGAGTTCATGCTAAGATCAATCATAAGAATTTAACTCAGGTATTGTGTTCAATTGAGATATAATTTACGTTCGAGAAGAAGAGAGAAGAGAAAGAAGAAAATATAGGAGAAAATAGTTGTTCTGCTATGAAGGGGAGAACTACTGAGATAAGATGAGCTTGGAGTGGAGTAGACTAACCAAAACGCTAAAAATCGCCTACGAAACATTGCTTTTATTTAACTCGTTATAGAGGTCAAGGTAAATTAACAAAGACGATTACATTGAGTTGTTGGGGTCATGGGTACTTAATGCCCCCACTGTAGCTCCGCTACTCATGATGGGTATCTTGTAGAAGGCTGGGAACTGGCGTTGGTCACCATGGGCGCACAAATGAGAAGAAGTAAAAACTACTAACTAGACACCTTCCAGCTATCTTTGATCACTTTCTTGTACGAAAGTTGCATATGATAACATTGCTGTTGTTCATATGTAGATAAAAAACCTCCTCATTACTTGGGTCTAAAGGTAGCCTCTCAGCGATGATTGCATAATCCGAATACATCTCTTGGTCAGGGGAATCAACCTTGTGTTCACTCAAACACAATTTTTCAACTCTTGACTCAACAATATTGTAATTTTTGACTCGATAATATTGTTAGACTAGACTTGATTAATCCATAATCATTTTCGTGATTGTAGCATATATTATAGGAATGTAATTTCCAATTGTGGTTAATGTAGAATTTCTACCTAAATAGGGATTAATCAAACCCTAGATATATTGTAATATTTTCCACACATCAATATAAGAAGCCATAATTCTGCATGATATCATTTGTCTAAGTTTCGTTTAGGTCCTAGAATTTTTCTTGTTCTCTCTCTTTCGTTGAACCACTATTCAACGAAGACCAAGACCACACAACAAATCACAGCTTGTTATCATTCATACCAGGTTTAGGGTTCTTTTCTTTTTCACGGTCACCATCATCTTTCCTTTAGTCTTCCTTTTTGTCCTCTGCCTATAATTTTCAAGCCAAAAAAAGAAAGAAAAAAAAAAAAACAGACTGAAACCCAAAACCTAGCAAGTGGCCCTCTACTATAGAGTGTTGCTTTTGCACCAAGACGTGGATTTGGTTGACTTCCTAATTTAATATTTAATCTAACAAATTTATCATTTGACCTTAAAAAAAAAAAAAAAAACAATACCCAACTTTCCCGTCCTCCTTAAATATCTCATGGCACCATCTTTATCTTCCCTCCCTGGTTGCACATATAGGCAGCAATCTACCCCTTTCAATCAACCCAACGCGCAGCAGCCTTTTGCCCCTATCAGCCCAATTGTGCTGCTGGCCCAGTTCACTCCTACGAGCCACAAAACCATGTGGCCTTCCTTCCCACCGCGGCATCAGCAAGACCCAGCCCACTCTCCCGGCTGCTACTCACCACATGACCGGCCAATCTTCCTTGGTTCTTCATACGCAGCCCTATGCCAGTCCTATCGTCTATTTGGGTAATGGTGATACTCTAATCATTACTCACACTGGTTACATCCCTCTTTCTCTCGGTTCCTCTAATTTTCTTCCTGCCCTTCATAATATTGCTCGTTTTACGCAAGATAATTTAGTCTTCTTTTATCTTTGCTCCTCACTTTGATCAAATCTGTGATTTACTTACCAGTGTGCTACTTTTTCAGGGCCCTGTAAAGATGGGCTTTATCCCTTCTCTGTTTTCCACTGTATCTTCAGTTTCTTAAGCTAATGTTACCATCTCCTCCACCACTTAGCATCAACGGTTGTCATCTATTATGTTTGGTCATGTTTCGTATTTATTCTAGTTTAGGTCCTACTGTCAAAGTCAATAATTTTTTTTGTACGCACTGTCCACTCAATCACTCTTTAATTCTAATACTAATAATATTTGTGCTTCTTCCTTATTCTCTATTAGTCATTCTGATGTGCGGATGTCTCTAGTTACATCTACCAGTGGTTTTTGTTATTATATACTCTCTAGGGATGATTTATCTCAGTACTCTTGGATTTTTCCTATGAAACAAAAATATGGGGTATTTTCGTCACTTTAAACACTTTATTGCCATGATTCGTAACATGTTTCAAGCCACTATTATGGTTCTCCAAAGTAACAATGGTATTGAATATGTCAATCAATCATTCTCTCTATTATGTCATGCCAATGACATCAACCAATGCTATTCTTACCCCCATACCCCAACAAAATGGCCTCGTAGATTAGAAACATCGTCACATTCCCACTCTTATTTGTTCTATTCTCCACACTGTTGACTTACCTCATACATTGAAGCCGCTCTTACTGCCATTTGTTTTATTAATCTCCTTCCCCACTCAACTTAAGTTGGTTCACTCCTTACTAAATTATTTCAGGTCATCCTCCCACATATTCTCATTTCTGGGTATTTGGGCGCCTTTGTGTTTATCTATGTCGTGTCACATTATTTTTAACGAATCATACTTTATTTTACAGTATTTCGCAGTTATCGCATATTTCGGAGTATACAAATTTACCATCACCCCGGTTACTACATATGTGTACTACCCTCTCTCTGCGTTTCCACCTTTAGGCCAGGCCCTTTTTTCTGTTTGCCTTATTGCTTGCGTTTTTCTATCTGCCATTAGGCATCCCTCTTTACAAGCCTAGCATCAAGGCTCAGGATTACTTCCACAGCTCCAAAGCCCAAGTTAGTAATTGCCCACGTCAGCCTACCCCCTCTACTTTAAATCTCGTGCTTAGCATCCCATTTTCAACTTCAGGGTCGCACCCTGTCACTTTTCAGCCTATCCTTTTGGCCCGTGCTATCTCCTTTAGCATATTCCTCTATACTTGTGCCTTCGCCATCAAACAGACCTTCTGAGCTCGTGCCCTTTCCTCCACAAAATGTTACCTCAGTCTGTGCACCAGTTGTCTATGAACTACTTGTAGCTGCTTCCTTAGCTGCCACTTTTACCCATTCCATGATCACTCATTTACATAACGGGATCACCAAACCTAAAACCCACAATGAGGGCACTGTGTGGCATCTTCTTCCGCATACTCTTTTAGCATTTCTTAAAACTGATGTACCTACGTGTTTTTCACAGGCTTCCAAACATCATCACTAGCGGCTTGCCATAAGGAAAGAAATTAATGCTCTCTTGCGTAATCAGACATGGTTCCTTATTCATTCTTATCCAGGGCAGAACACCATTAGCTATAAATAGGTCTTCCATATTAAGTGTGATCTTGATGGCTCGGTCAAAAGATATAAAGCTTTTCTTGTGGCCAAGGGTTTTCATTAGTAGTGTCACGCCTCGATCTCGAGATACATCCAAGATCGATAGGTGATGTCACCTCGTACTTATACGTCTATCATACCTCGCCTCCGGGATACGAACAAGACACCAATCAAGGTCCAACAGCAAAATAACTTTGCGTTTACTCTGTGGTTGCATCTAACCTTCGTGTTAGGTTGTCTACGTACCCTAAACAAGGATCAACCCATTTGTAGTTCACCATATAATAAGTGCCGACATTTCTCATGCCACTATTTAGTAGAACCCATAAAGATTTCTGAATACTTAATTTCTGAAACTCATGCACTTGATTCACTAAATTCCAAACTAAATAACGAAACATATGATTACTAGGATTGCCCTTCGTCAATCATATATATCATATTGCTTTCCAACAACAATTTCACATTCACAACAAACAATCAAATCAAAAAAATCAAAGATGCATAATATTGACGTTTAACTACGTTAATCAACCAATAAAACCATATATCACTTTGTTAAGTTTAGTACATGTGACCTTTGTAAGTTGGTTGTATTACCCTACCTGAATTCAAAGCAATAACATATAACTCTAAGTTACCAACACAAACATAAGCTTGAGCCGCATCTATGTTTCTACATTCTAGACTAACTCAAGGAATACCAAATATAATATGATCCCGGGCCACTCAATGGAATCGAGGCGAAGTGGGGTATCCAGACCACTCAACGGAATCTCACTCTAGAATACGTATGGTTCCCTTATGTGGATTAAGCAAGCGGATCCATATGTATCCATCTAATAGGCAGTGACCCCCTAATATGGATTAACTAAGCAGAGTCACCCCTATAATGCGTATGGTCCCCTAATGTGGATTAACCAAGCATGACCAACTATGGAATAAAGTAATCGTATAGGCAGTGACCCCCTAATGCAGATTAACCAAGCGGAGTCACCCTTATAATGTGTATAGTCCCCTAATGCAAATTAACCAAGTAGGACTATATGCATGTATCCAATAGTGTGGTCCGCTAATAGGGATTAACCAAGCAGGACCAACTATGAAACAGGTAATCGTATAGGCAGTGACCCCGTAATGTGGATTAATCAACTATGGAACAGGTAATCGTATCCATGACATCTAGATTACTACGTATACTCATATGTGCTAATAATTTATGGCATCTAGACTACTAAACACATACAAGTTCATTAACAACTTGGGAACTAACTAAAAGACCGCATGAAACCTAGTGTATGACATATACAACAAGGAATTCATGGTACCATTTGCAAGACACTAAAACCAAATTAACATGGCATATGTGTTAACTCGCATCACATATACTCGATTCAAACCCAAGTGGTAGCTAATCACAAGAATTAAAATCAAGTTCATAAGCACAAACAAAATGATACTCAAGGGAATGCAAATTCATAAATAGTTAAACTGAAATATTAAGCAATCATGGTTAGGCTACATCGTAGCCCTAGTAAAATAAAATTAGTTCCCAAAACATAATCGAAATTGGTACTGAATCCATAAGAAATAATAAGAAAATTTAGTTTAGAAAAAGCCTGAAAAATCCCCTGTTTTTCCGTACCTCTAGTCTGCCTTCTACCCTTTGCTCTGTCGATGCCTTCTTCAATGATAATCCTCCATTTTTTAATCTTTTGTTTTCTCTTCTTCTGCTTCATTTATGATTAGCCCCAATTGACTAGATTAATGCCCAGCCATTTCTGTTTTTCTTCTTTGTCTTCCCTCTTCTCACCGTAGCTTTTTTTCATAACCGACAAAGGTTTAAAGCCAAGTTATTGCCTTGTACTGCCTGGGTTTACTCACTGTAGTCATAGCCTCCCAATTAGTTTCTTCGACTCTCCAGTTGCTTAGTAACTGAAATTTCAATCTCCCAAGTCAATTGACTTCCAATAAGTAATTGACCAATAACCAGAACCCATGCTCCTGCTAAGAACCCACGAACTGAAATTTGAAATGGAAATTTGGATGCCCATATTTCTGAATCATTCTCATTCCTGAACCGAGTTGTCGGCATTGTATATATATCAAAAGCGAAAGCAGAGCTTTCTTTTCTCCTTTTCGTGTAAATGAAAAGATAAATGAAACCTTGTTGTTGAAGTGGTCATGTGCCTTTTCCTTCAACCTTCACAAAAGTTAAATAATACCAATGTAAACTATTGAAGCCCAATGGCATACACATATATAGGACAATGATATTTGGAACAATTCCTAGACCTATTTGACTAGCCATGGAAACCAATGACTTAAAATATAATTATCTGTCACATTAATCTAGCTATAAAAAAAATAAAATACATAAACATGTCATGACCTCAACTAAAAGCAAAGATATCACTACAAAATGTCGTTTTTAGGGATAAAACAAGTAGTACAATTTGTGATTAACCAAGTAGGACATAGGCATGTATCTAATAGTGTGGTCCCTTGATGCAGATTAACCAAGCAAGACCATAGACACACATCAAATGACATGGTCCCTTAATACAGATTAACCAAGTAGGAACACCCATGTGCACCATGTAACAAGGTAGGCAGTGACTTCCTAATGCGGATTAACCAAGTAGAGTTACCCCTATAATGCGTATGGTCTCCTAATGCGGATTAACCTAACATGACCACATACAAATGTCAAATGGTGTGGTCTCTTAATGCGGATTAACCAAGCAAGACCACCTGTTTGCCACACTACTACATGGTGCAGCATCATAATCACACATCATACATCAATTCAATATGAATTACAATTGCTAGCATACATAGTATCGATTCTATAAGACAAATGAATATCCATTTACACATACCGTTTATATCTTCTAGTAGTTCAATACCCCATAACTTTAATAAGGTGCCAACTTCACGCAACCAAAGCACACACATCCTTTAGGATGATCCACTGACCAAACTATGCTTACTAGGCTCTATTGGATATCATATATATGTACGTATATATATCATTCCATAACATAATGCATGTAGATAAAAAGAATTTACCATCTTTTGTATGTGAATTGTATTGTAAAAATCTTTTGTTTGTAAAACTTTTTCCAACGTTGTCAATGTAAATAGTATTAATCTTCAATCACACAATCTATTATATATTTCAAATATAATCTTTCATACAATTTCAAATCCTGCAGTAAGGCGCGGCTAAAAATTTCTAATTTATATATACTAAAACCCACTCTCGGTTACCGTTCTTTAACAGTAAAATAACGAAAATGCCCTTAAAATGCCGTCCTGGCTCCCTTTTGTATTGGCTTATCTACAGTGAAAAGGCGTTTTTGCCCTTCCTCTCCAGCTGTCGGCTATCGCAGTGTGTTCTGGCATCTTCCCTTTCTTTTCACTGTTTTTCCTTCCGTTGCTTTTCACTTCTTTTCCTCTAATTTGACTTCGTTTGTTTTGGGTTTTTTGGTTCTGGTTTCGTTTGCTCCCAGAAACCTACGTTCTCTATTTGCTGTTATCGTCCAACTCCGATTTAGCTACCCTTTGTGAACTCCATCTGCTTTAACTTCCCTGCATATCTTTCTCTCCAAAGCTCCAAATTCTTGGCCAAATAGAACGTCGAACGCCCAGGTGGTCACCGACTCCAGTTCGAGGTCGAGAAGCATTCGGTCAACGACGTTCCCGACGCCAAGATTTCGTAAGGTCTCAATATCGAAGAAGATTTCTTACGCTCTTTGTCAATGACGACCTGACGCGGATTCTGTCCCGATTTGAAGAAAATTCTTCAAGCGGCTTGAATTCACGGTGAGTCCTCTCGCCCTCTCTAGAATTTTGTTTGCAATTCTCCATTATTAACACCCGTTTTCTTGCTAGAAATCAATCCTGCGACTTTATTTGCAGCCCCCCCCCCCCTCTTTTTTTTCCTCCAGATTTAGCTTTTTTACCCTATTTGGTATCTTTTGGCTGATTTTGTGGGTCTTGGTCAGTGCTGTGGGTCTTGGTGAATTTCTAGCATGTTTATGCACGCAGTTTTTGTTATAATGTATGGATTGTGTTTTGTTCAGTTTTAAATGTCAGAAGCTTTAAATTTTTTTGGGTTCAATTTTAAATGGGTTGTTATCAACCATTGAATTGCTTTCGGAGTTTTCATTTGATAAGAGAGGGGGGGGGGTTCTTTTGGGTTAAACTTTCGATCCATGGGATTTTTAGTTATGTTGTGTCCACCCTAATTCAACCTTTCTATCTTCAGATCACCAGCAATAATCTCATCAAGGTCTCAGGAGGAATCACGAGAATTCACTGCCGAATTGTTATGTACTTATGCTTTTGCAAAAAGCCCTTTTCATGCCATTTTTGTGTTTTAGAATTGGGACCAAAATGATTATGAGTGATTTTGAAAAACACTGAGATAGAAAAAATGGCTATCAAGCAAGCAGCCCATGAGTATTCAAACATATAATTTTCGGTCAAATGAAATAGTTGGTACCACAAGCTTTTAAGTAGGGAGGGATGTTTGATTATATATTTAAATTAAGCAAAGAATCTTGCATAAGAAAACGATCCAAGTTGAAGTTAACCAAATATATGGTGTAACAACTGTTAGTTTGATCAGTTCACACTAATCAAATGAGCCCGAGGTGTTGATTTTGACAGTAACTACTGACTTTTTAGTATGTTCCGGATTATTTTATAGTGTTAATTACTTTTTACATTTTTGAGGTTCGGAGTGATTTTTATAGTGTTAATTACTTTTTTGTTAATGTGTATGAAACAATATTTATCCTATTTGTTTGCCATGTAAATATCTCTCTAATTTGAACTTCGTATTCTTTTTTGCCTGTACATAGACCAGCACTTCAATTTTTTGTATCCAAATGCTGGTTGCTCTTGAAGGATGGTTCCATGTGCTAAAATCCAACACATGTCTGTAATTTTTTTTGTCTGTATGTAAATAAACAACTTTTAGCCTTTTGTATCTGCATTCTACAACTTAAATATTTTGTTTATAAGCCTTTTGCAACCTCTCTATTCTCCATGCCGTTAATATTTGATCATGCCATTTCTACATCCTATCAGCATGGTGTTAAGTATAGTTTCCCAGCTGCAATCATTTTGAATTGGCGTTTAACGAAGCTGTTGTAAGGCCTCTTTTCTTGATGTGTCTCTTTTTTCATTTATTATTCTATTTTTAATTCCTAATTTACAGATAAATTTTATGTCTAAATTCTCATTTTGCCATGCTGCAGATTTTGTCTTCGTAATCAAATGCTTCGTATTACTGTCTGATTTTGTTCTTCTTCACTTTCAAGAACCACCGCTGTTTATTGAAGGTATTTAATCCGTTCAACCATTTAGTATTCAATGTATCAAATATATTGCGTTGTTAATTTTCTGTTACTTTTGTTGGTACCTCTCTTTTCTTTCTAATTTTTTTTCCCTTTTTTATCCGCTTCTCTTTCGCTTTTGTTCAACCCATTGTCCTCAGTTTGTAATCTTCAATTGGATGAATTTGATCAACCCATCTATTCTCAAGCGATATCTTTTGTTTTAAACTATTTTAACCACTTTGATCTTAAAAGTGTTTAGTGTTAACCCCCCAACATATTATTTTCGTTTTCTTCACATTGGAACCAAACTCAATTGGTGGTAAAAATGTATAAACCTTGAACTACACCATGTATCCAATGTTAGTCATTAAATAATTACAAAAGTAACATCACCATGGGCTACAATCATATCCAGCATTGTTCCATGATTGTTACCAACCCTTAGAACCAAATTTAGCATCAATATGTTTTACTTCTCCATCTCAATCTTAACCATTAGCAGTTACAATTTTGTATTAATCACCGTCATCTTTTGCCTACCTTACTGTATGTGAAACGATTATATTTATGCTCATTGTTATTCATTGGAAACAGTTTTTCTATATGTCCATATCCAATCATTAGTTTTTTTTTTTTTTAATGGAATTTGTTGTTTGGTCATTGCTCTAATTCGATTTGATGATTTTGGTTTCCAAAATAGCTACTTGGATTGCCCGTGATTTGTTTTCATCGCGTAATCCCCCCATTTCGTCCATATTATGGATTGCGACAGGTATTTATCAGAGAAGTGTGTGGAGGATAGCAGCTGAGCTACCAGATCCTTATCCCTATAAATCTCCCTCAATAGGCTTTGCCAATAAGACTTACCACCCAAATGTTGACAAAATGTCAGTAATCACTATCATAAACTCCTAATATTCTAAATTGTGTGGCACTATTAATTGAACGAAACAAGGAATACTATCAAATTCTAATTACATCACCCTGTGTTTCCAGATCTTACAAGCATATTTAAAGTGTTCTCACCACAACTTCTGCTATATCCCAATCCCTCTGATCCTTTAAACAGAGGTTACAACTTTAATGATGAGTTACCGAGTTGTTTATCAACAAAGAGTTAAATGTATTGATTGTTTATTACATTTGTGTCTCCCTGTCATCATACATTTGTTTTCCGTTGTTTTTCGCTTAACTTTCAACTTTAGTGTATTCATGTTAGGATTAGTGCTAATTAGAACATAGATTGTTCAACTACAATCTTTTGAGTAGTCTTAACCCTTTTGTTGCATTATGGTGCTACTCTTACTCCTGCAGATGTTGACTTAAGTATGTATGAGTTGAAAACCTTGCATTCTGGTACATTTAAGAAGTTAACTTAAGTTGATAAAAACACAAAGGTTATCAAACGAGACCTTAATTTCTGCATAAATGAGTTTTAATATGGTCTTGGGATTTTCGAAGTAATATTAACTAGAATTAAACAGGTTGCTAAATGGTCGAGAACACATTAAGCCACTGTGAGAAAGTGAGGTGCCATGTGTTATAGATACTACATTTGGTTAATTATATTCTCACAATCCTGCTCCATTCAGTCTGTTAATTGGAATGGTGGTAGTATCTAAGTCATTTTTGACAAATTACTACAACTATCATGCTCCATATGATTGAAAAGAAGGCACCACAGGTGTATTTTGATGCTAGCAACAACTGTTTTACCAAAAATTGCACTCTCTATTACAATTCTTACTTTGTTAGTCTATCGAAAGCTTATATAAATCGCTGTCAAGTATCTTCACTAATATGTAGTCTAAACACGCATTTCTACTGCAATTAATTAAGTTGGCACCACCTTATGATAATCCTGCTTCACTGAACTCAGCTGTTATTTAATGATTTCTTTATTTCCAAACGGCATCTGATGAGGTGCTTTCACTGAAATTCTTTTCAGTGAAGTCATATTCAGGAAATGGGTCTACCTACTGAACCGTATGAGTGGTACATTGACTTGCCGCACTTTGGGACCATCAAACATTGTGGTTTTGGTTTAGGATTCGAATAGATGATTTTATTTGCTACCAGCATTGACCACATTAGAGATGTTATTCCTTTCCCTAGACATCCAGGAAGAACAGATCTTTGAATTAGTCCATCAATAGCTACTAGGCAAGACAAATAGGAAAAAATCACAATCGTTACTTTATATATATACAGAGATTTTAATCATTCAGTTTATGCTAATTTTTTTTTTAATTTCAATTTATATCAGCTTTTTTAACTTTTATTAGGAGCTTATACAAAGAAGGATTACAAAAAATCACCGAATGCCTTGGAAAATCCCTTGGTGATTCTATTTGGTAAGCTTTAAAAAGCCTCATCTTTTTATTCTTGGTTATTTTCCCTTTAATATGCATTTGTCATGTTTGTACATTTGATACAAATCTGTCTTCTTATTATTTTACTGTCATCTGTGAGGATTGTTTTTTACTACTTCCGTAATGTTTTGCAGTGTACATAGATGACAGATTTCATATCACCTACTTGCCTCCAACTATGTAAGCCAATGTTCTTCTTTTCATTTAAAATGACCTACAACAACATCAATTGTTTTTCTTCTTTGTTGTCATAAAGATTCAATTCAATGTCTTTCATTCAATTGATTGTTTCATTATCTATACTTTCATCTGTTTAGTTGCTGGAAAAATCTTGGCAAACAAAAGAACTCAATTTCAGTGCTATTGTTGTGATGAATACTTATTTTAACAAACTTATCAAATTTTGGATACTTTATGAATTTAAGATCTTCAATTTTAGTATTTTTTATGAAATTGTAATGAATTTGCAAATTTGTCAACTATATCTTACATTCATGGTTCCATATTCACCTTGCCCATAACTATTGAATTTTGTCTCTTGACTGGATGAATTTTTATAGTTTCCACAATCTACAGTTGCAATGCCTTTGATGGATAAAGCACAGAGGACCCAGCTACTCATAGCTTCTTTAGCATCGTAAGTTAAAATTCCATACCATTTTCTTTTGCTTCACAAATTTCATTATGTTAATAGCATACCAATTATGTGATACCAATTGTTATCTTAGCAGTTTCTAACAATTGGTAAAATACGCATAAATGTGTGCAAGTTTGAATTATACATACGAATTTTCATATATTACACTCTTTTATAGCTTTGAAACATATTTTTCCATACGGTTTCTAATCGCGCAGCAACGCGCGGGCACTATTTCTAGTTATATATTGAGAGGAAGCTTATCTGTAGCTTTAGGGTTTAGGGGAAAGATGTATGACACTCCGAGATGATTACTAAATATACCGTAATCATCTCCGAGTTAAGGATGATGATCGCCTTCTTCTTCGGTTGGATCCCTTCAACGGCAATACCAGTACTACTAATTGCATGTACATGACTTTAAATCATAAATTCATCAGCCAGTCTTCCCTTCCGACATGGATGGAGGAAGGCTGCTTATTTATTACTACACTCACGATTATTCACAGCTTACACGCAGTGCCCCGACCAACGTAGATGTAGGAAGGCAGCTTATTATACAATCTATACAACTTAGGTTCGAAATTAGAATGCAATGCGCTGTCTCACTCTCTTCAACTGGCTCTATATCCCTGCAAGTCAATCATATAGAGCCTTTAACATAATTAGTTGATTATGGTAGTTTGCTTGAGATTGAGATGTATGTGTTAAGCAGGCATGAAAGCCATCTCAAGCTAAGAGCTATTGATTGCCGAAGAGAGATGAAGGGAATACTGTACGAACTTGTCCTGCATTGCGACAAGCTTGGCATCATTCTGAAACCGTCTTCCTTTTGAAGTTTGGCCTGCAAATTCAAACACACATCTTATAATCCTTGGATTTGTTATCAAATCGATTCTCCTCCCCAAATGGGAATTTCCAAACATGAAAACTTGTATGGTGCGTTTTGATCTACCACATAAGCTGGACACAAACCAAAACATTATGGAAGACAATAAATTAAATTCAAATTCCTAAACAAACCTCCGCAAGCGCAGATGGTACCAAGCTGTTGAAGAAGACGATGGTGATGAGGTTGTAGTTTCGGTGGATGGCATCCTCATTTCCAGATCAGGGATATGTTTGATCTTGGGCCAATCACCGTCTTCCTCCCCACATCGTTCTACCAGTGAGGGGCATCGCTGGATAGAGAGATGCAGGAGGGAGGTTGGTAACCCACCCTCCGGCAAGGACTGGAGTGCAGGGCAATCCTCAATGTATAGATCATGGAGGGAGTCGAGTTTTTGGAGTACATCTGCCGGGCCAAATGACTTGAGCCTTGCACACGAGCCAATACTCAAATATTTAAGAGATGTTGGGAGGCCTTCAACTGGCAACGTTACAAGCTTAGGACAATTGTGGATGGAGAGTGTTGTGAGGGAGGTGAATCCTTGGAACGACTTGTTTTGGTTGGATAAATACTCGAGAGCCTTGCAGTCACGGACGTAGAGTGCTCCGAGTTCGGGGAGACCCCAATCTGGAAGACATATGAGGTTTGAGATATTGGAAATCACCAAGAACCGTAGATCAAAGACATCACGAGGTGGCAAACCCACTAAGGAGCCATGTGCAGAACATGCATCCAATGCCAGATGTTCCATGTTTAAGAAGGGATGTATTTTGAATTCTGAATTGCACCCACTTGCTTCCAATTTCTTTGGAATGTAGTTATCTGGCGACTCATGCAGCTTGGGGCAATTGATAATTTTGAGTTCACTGCCCCTTTCGAATTTCCAGTACAGAAAGATCCTGCTATCATAACCATTCTTATCAATGGCGGAACCAGAAATCGTTTTCAAAAGGGATCTTTAAGACATGAAAAAAAAAAAAAAGAAGACTAAATACAGCAATATAATCAATTGAAGAAATATTTAAGATTTCCTTTTTTTTAATTGTCAAGAAAAATGTATCAAACAAGAGTGATGGAATACAAAAACAAAAATTAGGTTGTATATGGTAAAGTAGAAGGCTAATTATAAGGTTTATAGACCTTGTTTTATATGAACAAAACCGAAAAAGGAATTAATTTTATATGGTAAAACAGAAGGCCAATTATAAAGTTTTGTTTAAAAAAGACAAAAAAATCTTGATTTCAAAATCTTCGAACCCATGCCCGATTGGCTTGCCAAAGTCCACTAACCAATGAACTACAAGATGGTTATTGTAAGAACTCGCAAACAACAAATATATATAAATTACAGAATAGGCCTTACCACAAAAAGAAACTCTCACAATTGTGAGTCCAGTGCATCAGAACAGGATTGTCAACAAGTGTGATACTCATAGGGTTGCGCCAGCAGGAAAATAGAAGGTGTTCCAATGATTCACACCTTTTGATCTTCAGAAAATCCAGTGTTTTCCCACGATGTGAACAGCTTTTCAACTTGGGGCAGTTAACTATCCTTAGAATTTTGAGGGATTCAAAATCTCCATTCCAATCCTCCAACTCTAGCATATTTTTGAGACGGACTTGTTCGAGTTTGTGTAGCTCCCGAAGATCAAGGACTTTCGATCTGGTGCAGTGATTCAAATAAATACTAACCAAATTCGTTAGCAGTCCCATCCAACGTGGAAATTCAGTGCCCTTGTAGTGACAGATTTGGAGCTCTTTGAGTGCCTTTGGGTGAGGTTCCAAGTCTTCAAGTACCTGCTTTGCAGCGGCTTCATCATGAAAATTAACATCGTTACTGCTCCATTCATAAACCACTTTCTCAATCATTTCTTTCCCTTTCAAGTTGGCCTCCCCTGCATTCACTGCATTTTCCAGCTTTGAGATGTGCAACGTTCCTCTAAGGTACACCATGTTCTTCAATTCTTCAAGTTTGTTTCCTGTTTCGCAGCTGACCTGAATATATATATATATATATATATTTTTTTTTTTTGGTTAGACAGAAGTTTGACCCCCAACAACAAGATATTTGAAAAAGAAACAAAAAAACATACCGGAAATTTGTGTAAGTTGTGCAGACTGGTTAGACACCCCATGCTTCGTGGCAACATCAAGGTCTTGAACCAGAAAATTTCATCTAGCTCCAGATGTCTCAGGTTGACAAGATTTTTCAAGTTCTTGGGCAAATTGAAAATCCAAGGACAACGCAAAAGTTTCAGTGTCTCCAAATTGAAGAGGTTGCATACCGAATCAGGGAGCTTTCTGATTTCAGTTGTCGATAAATCGAGGTAGCGCAAGAGCTTCAGCCTTCCAATTGAATCTGGCAGTGTGACAACTGTGCTTGAACTCATGTCTAGCACACGCATATACATAAGTGAATGAATTATTTCACCTTGTCCTTTCCCAAAGGCTCTCAGTTGCAAGTGTTGAACTGGAAGTCAAAGTGTGCGCAGCTTCTTCGATTTGTTGACGATCTCTATTGTAGGCTTCTGAAGTTGTTCTTGAAGCAGTGATACATGACGAGACTTTTCGTCAAAATCTTTCATATCCTTCACTTGGCAAAAAAAGGGACTGGAAACTGATTGTGCCAAGTCATGGATAAGATCATGCATCCTGTACTTTGTGTTGTCTTCAGCTGAGCATTCGAAGAAGAACCTGTCTGACAGCTCCTTGAAGTATCGACTTCCGATGTCTTCTGTCCTCTCTCCCACTCCGTGCGTAGGTGGTTGTATAAATCCTTCTGCCATCCATAACTTGACCAACTCATCCTTTTCATAAAGATACGATTTCGGAAACAGGGAACACAATGAAAAGCACTGCTTGTGATCTGGTGAGGGCAGGTGATTATAACTCAATCTAAGAGCAGGCAGTATTTGAGTATCTTCCACTCGTGCTTTCCATGTTTGACTTTTGGCAACATTTTCCCATTCTCCCAATTCTTTCCCACGTAACAGACCTGCCATTTGTTTTGTAGCCAAAGGAAGACCCTGACACATACCTACAATTTCCCTTCCACATTTTTCAAACTCGCTATCGATCAAATCACTATCTTCTTTGAATGCCAACTTTTTAAACAACCACCATGACTCATGATCACCCAAACATTGCAGAGAATAGGGTGACGCTGAATCCATGATATTTGAAACTTCTTTCAGCCGACTAGTCACCAGAACCTTGCTTCCGTAAGCCCCATGATTTAAGACCTTTACTAGTGGCTCCAATTCCTCATCTTTATGATTCCACAGGTCGTCTAGAACAAGTAAAAATCGTTTCTGAGTGAGAAGTTCAAGAATGCGAGTTTCTAGTTGGGCCAAGGAGAGAGGGGTATAATCAATAATCTCAGGACGGGTTTGTAATCGGTCCAAGGAGTTGGAGTAGTGAAGATCAAGGTCTTTTAGATGGGGCAAGGAGTTGGGATCACTGGGAGAAGGTAGTTGGTTCAAATCGAGAGGACTGGCATCTTTAAACAAGGTTTGTAGTTTGGCCAAGAGGGTGGGATCAACAGGGGTTTCGGGTTGAGATTCTTTTTTCTTGATCATATCTTTTAAAGACTCCGTTGCTTGTCTTCTTTCCACATTCAATGAACGCACTAGAGAGACCAGTATTTCACGGAAAATCCTCTCCATGTCAAATTCGTTCCCCACAAAAACCCAAATTCTAAAATCGAAATACCGATCAACATTTTCATCATTAAAGACAAGTTGAGCAAGAGTTGTTTTCCCCAATCCTCCAATCCCAACAATGGGAGTAAATGAAAAGGTTCCCCTACCGGCTTTTTTCTCTGTTGTCAGCTGCTCTATGATCTTCTCTTTATCCTTCTCCCTACTAACAACTAACCTGTCTTGAACGGGCCCAGTTCCCGATGTTTTGGAATGACTTTTATCACTTGCTGCTATCATGGTTCTGTTACTTTTGTAGCGTTGTCCATCTCGGTTAATTGCATCTATTCTTGATGTAATTTCTCTCAACTTGGACAATTCACGAGACAGAAAGAGAAATTTAAAAGCACAAAACGGAAGATGGAATTTTTGTACCTGCTGCTGCTTCATCTTCCACCGTTGGTATTCTGTTGTCCAACAGTCGATCAAATCCTCCATTCCATATCATAAGATGCTGCTCGGAGCCTTTCCAGCCAATTCTTCAGGGGGGGAAGCAGTAGAAGAATCCATCGGAGGATTTCCTTCCAAAATTCCAAGCAACGTTTTAATTTCTGTAAAAGAATTGTTCAGCTTCTCTACCTCATCCTTGATATTGACGAATTCAGTAGTAGCAACATCAGTCAATTTCTTTATTGCAATCTCTACAAGAGGACTTGCAAGGCCGATAATTATGTCAGCCATGTTGCTTTTTTCTTCCGAATTAAAATGGAAAGCCGAAAACAACAAGTGGACAAGAAGAAACAAGGCTGAAAGAAAGGAAACACATATCTGGTGTGATTTGGAGTCTGGAGAGACAATCCGGCTTTGTGTTTTTTGAATTAATGGATGATGCTTTGATGAGAGTAATATAGCATAGGCATGTGATACTTAAATCCTGGAACGATTTGATACTTTCCTTTGGTTGAAAAGATTGGAAGGCTTGAGCAGCGCCAGAAGAATACTTGACAACACTCGAAGAATTTAGAATACTTGAACATACAGAACAATCAAGGAATGACTCGAGAAGAGAGGAGACCGAATTCCCGTCCTCTCTGTCATTGTACTTCCCAAAGAATAATTAGGATGTCATGGAAGACAGCTCTTTCCAGCTGAAATTCACACAAACGTGAATCACTAGAAAATATCAACGTTTCTACAAGGAAAGTTTTCCCTGGTGAGCAAGCGACGAATTTTTCCTTGCTTCTAACCTCATCCCATGGAGATGCTCTAAAAACACTTAAAAAAAAAAAACCACCAATTCCAAATGCAGTACTCAAAGAATATAGTGCGAACGCATCTTTCGCCAACAACTAGAAATATGTGGAAGGTCAGGATGTTAGTCGTTCCTCCTAAACTGGTAGGTTTTAAGAAGCGAGGACGAAGAGGTTCGTTACTGTTGCACTGTGGGTGAAACAATATAGCCATGAAAGATTCAACAAATGGAGAATTCCGGGACTTCAAGAAAATGGTCAGACTGATTTCGATTTTGAACCCTAAAGTTACTATTCTTTTATATTTCTACTTTTAATTTTTTTCACAATAATCATCTGTGATTAATGGCATTTGCGCAAGTTATCAATAGAAAACAACGATTCATATTTTTTTTCTAAAGATATCTTTCTTAATGAATTTCATTAATAAAAACAACACATCAATCAGACTTTCGGAAAACAATGTATACAGTGAATAATAGAGTACTCTATTTTTATGAACAAAAATCTTCTGCATCAAATAATTGACACCAAAAGGTGACTGAGAGACGTAATATTGTAGATGGATAAATTGCAAAACAAGGGAAGAGATATGCAAACCCATATAATCAAATATATATACATATATATGTGTGTGTGCCCATATTGTTATAACACATTAGGCCTAGCAATTTTCTTGCACGACCTGTTAACTTGACACGAAATGACACTAAAATAACAGGTTGTGAATCAACCCGTTAACAAATCGGGTAATTATCGGATCACCCGTTAAGAACACGATAAGATATTGTTTGCCAGATCTAAACATTAAGCATGACAATTTCTTACATGATTCATTAACCGACACGACCTGTTAACGAATCAGATCGTTATCAGGTCACCTGTTAAGATAACGAGGATGACACAAAAAACACAAACATAACAAACACAATTAAATTGTAAGTAAAGGAAGGGGTTTGCAGTCTTCGGACCACAACCTCCTGGAACCAAAGCTCTATTGTCTATTCTATGTTAGACATCCACTCGCCTGTTCATAACCCACGGGTAAAATGACATTCCGTGCAGGCGGCATTTGGCCCAAATTTTGTTTATTTATATGTATTAACATAAATGCTATACGGATTTAAACATATACATATTTTGGGGTTGGGGGGGGGGGGGTGCGGCGGGTGTGGGGAGCGGGTGAAGATCCTGGATATAATCTGAGAGAAACTGCTGATGCTGTGTTCCTTTTTCAATCATTAATTTATGCATGCAGAAAATATGGGTTAAGAAGAACTCTGGCTACAAATGCATGATGTTATACGCAAGGTCCTTAGCAATCACTTGGGGTGGTCCTCCGTACTGGGTTTGGAATTGTTATAAAGAGACAGGGTATGCCGAATTTCACTCATGTCTTCTAACACCTACAGTTTTCAATACGAAAAATGAGAATTTTATGTCTTCGATTCACAGGGATGACAACATTGAGGTAGCCAAACTAACGGGTGTACGCGATCTAGATGTCCAAGGACGGTTCAAGATGTCGGAGCTCTCACCAGGAGTTGTTTATGAGATTGCCTACATTGTTAAATAACAAACGGAGCATCTGGATGGGAACTCCCTGTTACACTCAAAATCACTCTCCCGGGGCAGGGCGGAAGAGAAAAGAAGCGCCAATACAGTCTACTCGAGAAGCCGAGAGGAGTGTGGATGGAGCTTGTTGGTGGCAGTTTTCAGTCAATGGCAAGAGAAACTGGAGAAGTGATCTTTGATTTTTATAATCATGACACGCCCTCGAAAAGTGGGCTTATCATCAAAGGTATCATTATCAGGCCAAAAAATTGAACAGGTCGTGCAAAGTATAGGATTCTAATGCTAATTATAAAGACTGATTTCCTATAGCCTGTACATTGATGATCTATATAGCAATAAAGAATCATTTCCTTTTCCTTTCATTTTTCCGTTGAATTGAACTGCACAATGACCCTGTTTGATCACAAATGAAGGCTTTAGGTAAAACAAGCAGGTGTACTGGTGCGTTGCTGTGGGATTTGAAACATTGTTGAAGTTGTAGAAAGTATCGAAAATATATGTGCCAAAGAGTAGTGTTTATATACATGTATTACATTAATTTTTTATTTATTTATAAAAATAGGGATTAGTTGTAGGGTCCACAATATATCGAACTTTAACAATCTGAACCGTCTATTTTTCAAGTTACACTTCATAGATTATCCTTGCAAAATATTAGCTATATTGGAAATGTTTAAGACATCTAATTAGGTTTAAAGAAATTAACGAATACTTTGTTATATAAGAAATAATGAAATTTTATCTTGATAATTAAATAGGCAAATGAGTTCGGATTGAATTAAATTTTTGCAAGGATGATCTATGAATCGAGACTTACAAAATCAATGGTTTGGATCATTGAAGTTCGATGTGGAGTGAGCACCATACCTAATCCCTATTTTTTGAAAAAAGAAGAAGATCCCTTTGAATAAAGGGCCTATATATATAAGAATGTAAATATTCATGACATTGCATTAAAATATTTATGATATACATGAATGTAGATAACGATCATGTGAGGAAAAGAAATTAGCAAATTGGGGATGTTCATGATATGCCATTGACACACCCCGATCCGGAATGTCCACTAGGACTCCGAATCGAGTTGTGCTGGCCGCCACTTGGAAGGTGACGAAGCCATAAAGTGATGATAAGGAAAGATGCGAAATAAATTTAAACCTAAAGGTGCCTAAATAATAGAGTGCACTATGCGTGGGTATGAACCCAAATCACACGTGATGTCAGAGCATAGTCAAGTACAGCAATGTAGGTAGAAACCATACCCACAAAAGTAGCCACCTTAACAGGGACATGCCACAAATCCTCGTCGATAAGGAACTTTGCTACTAGAACCTGGAGGGGCGCAAAACAGAAAACGTGAGTGGGCGAAAATAAAGCTTTTCAAGAATATCTCATTTATTAACATTCATAACCCTTCGCTGAAAAACCTGTATACTTTCCCAGAAAATAATTTATATAACCATATATATCAGCAAATATCTCAAATCACAATCCTTTAACACTTTTCAGAAAATATGTCATGCATACATATACATGAAATATATGAATTAGTATTTGATGCCTATATATGAAATGGTGCTGTGGACGCACATGTGAGTATCAGGTGAGTTTATATTGTTTATATGAATTAATGACGATGTGATTTGTGTTGAGAGCTCATAACCTGCACCCCTGGTGTTAGTGCTTATATTATTCATCCCGCACCATACGCTCACCTTGGATCCAAGTAGGTGCATGTTGTACAGACCAATAGAGGGTTCCGACATGTTGTACAGACCATGAGAGGTGGTTCCGACTGTAGGTGACTTTAGATTATTATACAGCTGTTGATGAGAGAAGCACTAGAGCGTATTCTTACACCATTCTTGTCGTACAGACTACTTCAGGTAGTTCCGATTTATGTGCAGAGTAGTGCTTTACAGGTCACAATTGGTGACTCCGGTTGGATTGGATATTGAGCTATAGAGTTAACCGTACATGACCGGCTGCAGGGTCTCCGGTTGATTTATCATTTCACCTGATTTATATTGATGCATCCATATTATGTTTCGGCGCCTTGATGTGTTGTGCTAGGGAGTTGTACGGCGAACTCCAGGTGAGTGAGCAAAGTGGAGTGAGGCATGCCCTCCTTCGGGACAGGGTGTGTCAGCCATAGTTGGGGAGTGCTATTTCAAAACCTCCCATTGATCTGTTGTAACCACGTCACACCCTAGTAATGCGATGTCTGAGAGAAAAATCGATAAGAACGCATAGCTTAAAAAGCTATGTAGATTAAATTTAGCATAATTTGAGAAGATAAAGCAACTCACCTAACCCAGCTGCAATAAAAACACAGTAAGCACATGATCTGCTTAGGAAACAAAGAAAATCTATACATTCAACATGAAAATCAATGGAAAATAAATACCTCACAATATGTGCAATAGTTCAATGAATTAGACACTTCAAACCTATTAAAGTTGCTGTTCTTCGAAATAATATAAGTGGTAAGTACATATACATAACACCACATAATTAGCCTTAAAACCAGTATGCATAATTTAATTAACTTGCACAACACTCAATTTACTGCTCATTCACCAACTAAGATATTGGCTCTTAAGATAAAAGATAAAATGGTGAATTCTTATCCTTATACGACGCATAAGACCAAAAAGGAGTAAGATTCTCTCACCTCCTATTCTCATCCTCTTCCCTCCTCTTCTCTCACACATTACTTTTTGTCTTATTGTCTCTATAAAAAAATCAATATAAGATGTTGACGTGGCTTAACCGTGACCGTTCAAATAGGAGGAGAGAGAAGGGAAGAGAGATTAGGAGAGGAGAGAATCCTCCTTCCACTAAAAAACCAAAAACCTCCTAAACTCCCTGACTGCCCAAGATTCACAGTTGTTATATAATCAACAAAATCCATTGCAAAATGTTTATTCAATAGTTTTCAATACTATTGACTCTGGTATTCTTCCCTATCTTGTAGAAGACTACCAGACTTAAACTCTTTTCAATTCTGGAGGAGAGCACATAGTGAATACTGTTGGAATCTTATTTGGACTCTACAAATCATGATAAGGATTAATTGTCACAAAAATTAGTATCCGGTCCCTAGTTTTTATTGTTCATTGACTAAGACCTTATTAGTTCTCAAATTTTGATTCAAGTCCCTAGCATTAATGTGATAATGAATTTACTTGTTTATTATATAATTTTTTAATATAAAAATTAGTAATTAATTTAGGATTTAATACTCACACCTCTATTAAACTTCTAATTAATTTTCAATTCAAACATTTCCAAAATAATAAAAAATTAAATTAAATTAAGTTTGTACCTATTAGTTTTTTTTTATATATATAAAAAGATTCTCAATTTTTTAATCTTAAATGTACCCATTCATATAATTTTTCAATTTTTTTAATCTTAAATGTACCCATTCTCAAATATATCAATTTGTTATATGTAAAATGTACCCTTTTTTAATATAAAAATCCATTCAAAATTTTTTAATCCATGTTTAAACTTATATGGGTACATTCTTTTTCGTTGATTTGAGAATGTATCCATGTTTTGGTACAATAACGTTTTTTGTTAATTTTGGTTAATGTACCCATACATATATGTATATATATACACACACACACACACACAATATAATAGAGAGTATAATTTATATTTTATTATTTTTAATCCCATAAATTATGGGTTTTATTTAAAATCTCATTAATATAAACAATTACAAATTACAAATTTTAATTTTTAATTAAAAAAATATAGTAACTTACATTATTACATTAATGTCAGGGACCTCAATCAAAAACTAAAAACTAACAAGGTTTCAATCAAAGAATATTGATAGCTAGGGACCGCATCCAAAATGTCCCTAATTATAATCAGTTAGAGTTAATTATTAGGTTAACTTCCTTCCTTTAAAGTAGGACCTCAAGGCATACACGTTGAAGTGATGGAAAGCCCCACGTCAATAAGGATTGGTGAGTGCTTTCAGTTACCAACTGATGTCCATAATAGGTGGGATGCAGTTTGGATCAGCATCTATATATGGGGTCCCTGCTCAAGAGGAAAAAGTTATATACAGAAACTAGTCCTATTCTAGTGAGAACATAAGGTTCCCATTGAGTAGAAGATTCTTCCTTATTCACTGTTTCACGACTTTATCAGAAATACAGTAGCCAAAGGTGAGAAGTTATTTATTTCTTTCTATCAAATGCATTTAGGTTGAAATGATAACCAAACTCTTGTTCAGATACATGTATGTGGATTGTGATTTAGGGTTCTTGCTAATTGTAAAGTTCCAACAAATACTGCAAAGTACTCCAATAACATAAAACTAATGAATAACCTAAAATGATCAACTCTACTAACCAACAGTAATCTTAAATAATATAACCCCAAAACCATTGGCATTGACTGATTGACAGCAAGACAGCTAATTAATGAAATTGTTTGAATGTTGATAGAGCTCTTGAGTTTTGACTTTAAAAAAAGAACTTATCAAGTAAATCACTTAATTTTGTTGAAGATTTTACTATAATAAGACCATCATTAAGCAAGAAATCGTCATGAACAAAAAAAGGCAGCTAAGCCAAAAATCCTCATCACCACTCCCATCCTATCAACTGCTAATCAATGAGAATAATAAAATATTTCAGAAGATGAGCATTCTCAATCAGTGAAACAACAATCTGAAAGTAGATTCACTACATCATTATTAGTATCATCTTTAATCGTAAAGTTCCAAATGATCTTACCAAAATATTTGCCATAATGGACCTTTGCTATAAATGTCATTCCTCCAAGTAGGTCATTTTACACGACATTGGTAAGGGGTTTAGAGAAGTTTTTCATGAGTTATACAAAATAGATGTCGATAATGGGGAAGTTTTTATTCTTATTGCTGTTGTGTCACCTGTTACAACTACTAACAGTAACTGTGAAAATTGTGTTAATTCCGACTCTCTCACAAAACCTCCAAAATCATGTACAAATAGTTCTTTCAATCAAACTTTTTCACAACAAAAAACAATCCTTAATACCCATACCTAAATTTCTTTGTGGTGTTTTATTAGACATCACAAATGACGCCAGATTCTTGTTCATCCGATCTCTGGCTCAGTTGGATTTTAGCTCCCATCTTCATCATGGCTGCTGATTTTTGAGTTCCTTTAAAGAAACACACATGCATCAGTTTTTTTTTTAATTCTTTTTAACACATAGAACATAACATGCAAGAAATAAACCAAGAATAGCAGATTTTACTTTTTGAGATTAGAGGTTATGGTAGCAAAAATCTGTTGTCTTTAGTCTTGAAGAATTTGTATTTATAAAACAATCAACATCTTTGATCAAA